TGCGAAGGTGAGGCCTGGGCCAGGCGGCCCGTGGGGACTGACGCACGTCCGTGTCCCCAGCATGCGTGGGAGGACAGGTTCGCGGGGGAAGCGCCTGTGGAAAGGTTGCTGTCAGAGGTGCTGTGCGAGTTTCCCTGCGTCCGGAGGCCACGCACCAGCCCGCCCAGCCGCCCCCTGGGCTACCGGGCAGATGCAGGGAGAATGTGGGGTCGGCGTGTGGGGTCGGAGCCACCGAGCCACCAGTTGTTCACGTGACTGTGGGGAGTGGCCACCTCGCCTGCCTTGGTGGCCTCATGGGGGAAGTGGGTGGATGCGCCAAAGAGAAACAAAAGCTGGTCAGATTTTACGTGGACTCTGGCAGGAGAGAGACCTTGGTGTTCGCTGCTCTCAGCTCCACCAAAACCAAAGGGGAGCTTTAAATGCTGGGTGTGTGGTGTTTTAGGGGGGCCGGGGCCCTCGTCCTCAGAGGACCAGTGGAGGCTGCATGCTGAGGGCTCGGGTCTCTGAGTGCGCGGGGGTGGGGTGGGGGAGGTTGGACAGGCTCCTGGTGCCGAGAGCCTGGCTTCTCAGGTGGCACTGGCCCCGATGGGTGGAGACGAGGTGGTCAGTGTGTCCAGCGCAGGGTCTGGACATGCTGGGCCTCAGCACAGGTCTCGCCTTCTGTGGGGCCAGGCTCTGAGGTCAGCAGAGAGGGAGACCTGTGACAGCCCTGACGATCCCCCACGTTGCCTGTCAGGCCCTGTTCTGCGCGGGGCAGTGCCCGGGCCGGGGTGCAGCCGAGTGCAGGCGCGGAGGCCCCAGGTCCCGGAATAAGAGGAAGTGGTCAGTGAGGTCCGCCTGCCAGGCTGCGCTCCAGCGCACGCCATTCTCAGACCGGAGGCCGACGGTGCGATGTGCTCCTGGCGCCCGCGCTTCCCCCGAGATCCCGGGATTTGTCCCCAAGAACCAGACCCAACTGGTGTCTATTCGCAAGGAACCAGCTTCCCACTGGGGTCCTTCGGGCCTGGGTTTAAATCCCTGCTCTGCCCTGTTTGTGGCCTCGAAGGAGTCACTCGGCATTCCTAGGCCTCGGTGTTCTCGTCCATGCAATGGGGGTGTTAGGGCCCACCGTGGAGGGGTCGTGAGGATGAGACGAGACGAAGCAGATGACAAGCTATCACACGGCTGGTGTGAATGGCGACGGCTTGCATCATCGTTATTATCGATCAAGGCTTGTGCCGTCCCTGGTCCCCCTCAGTGACTGGAAAGTAGACACTCATATCTGTGTCAGTGGGCGATATTGTGGACACAAAACCAGGGCCCAGCCAACCTGGCGTGTTATTCCACTAGGCCTTTACAAAGCGCCTCCAAAGTGTGTAGTTAGAACATGGTTCCCGCCTTCAGGGCATCTCTCTAGGATGTGACTGACGGAGCCACGCTGGGCAGAGGCAGGTGGGCGGGTGCAGC